ACCCTTAACCGACGAGCATGTATGCGTAGATATATGGATGTAAAGGAGGCGAAAGAGGTATGTCAGGATCGTGCCAAATGGAAGTCCGTAATCTCTGCCTACCCCTCTGGGTGACAGGCGTGAGTGTTTATGTTATGTTATAATGCATGCTGTGTTTACTAGTAAGTAGTCACTATACTTATCTTAAGAAACTTTTCTGTTATTTAAGATTTTTATTGTGTAAGTTGACTGTTAGTAAGCCATACAAATAAAATAAAATAGACATGCGGTCGTTAAGGAACATGTTAGGGTTGAATCTGAGTGACAGGGTGAGAAATTGTGTGATTAGAGAAGTATGCAGTTTGCAAGATGATTTTGTGACCAGGATTAAGAAAGAAACGCTTCGGTGATTTGGTCATGTGGAAAGAATGAATGAGGAAAGAGTGACAAAGCAAATTTATATGGCAGATGTGAACGGCAGAGTCGGAAAGGGGTGTCCAAGGTGAAAGTTACCGACCAAATTGGCATATTGAAAACGGTCCAAATTAGGAGTACCCTTAACCGACGTGCATGTATGCGTAGGTATATGGATGTGGAGGAGGCGAAAGAGGTGTGTCAGGATCGTACCAAATGGAAGTATGTAGTCTCTGCCTACCCCTCTGGGTGACAGGCGTAAGTTTTTATGTTTATGTATTATATATGTATTATATTGCCTGCGTTTCTAGATTCCTTTCACAGTATCAATGAATTAAGTATGTAACATAATTTTAAACAGTAAAGTAGACCTGTGCTTTGCTGCGGAGGTAAGTTAAACATGGCAAACGCTCTCTCCCGGTGAAAATGTCCTACTTGAAGTTAACCAGCAAAAACAGTGTGGTATTCCATTGGTACGGAGTGTGTAGAAAGACTTATTTCACAATTTACACAGTAACCAAGATCAGGCTCGCCTTCTAGCTGTTTCGACTAAGGAATCTAATCAATGTTTACACGCTGTACCACCAAGTAATCTGGGCATTTCACTTGACGGGGAAAGCTTGCGCATCGCCGTTGGAGATCCGTCTAGGAGTTGCTATTTATTAACCTCACCAGTGTCAGCAGCGTCGATGAGTTTTGGCTCCACGGACTTTGTTGTAAAACAAGTGCAGGTAGATTTTTAAGTAGAATTCATTCGAAGGGGTTTTGTCTCTAAAAATGTTTTCTCGGTTTTAGATAGTTTTAGGTAGAAGATATTTAGAGACGGTGGCAGGAGTCCCGACGGTATGACTTTGGTCCCTTGGGAGAGAGGTAAAGTAGTGTGAAATGCTACTTGCGTAGACACTTTGGCGGCCTCTCATCTCAAGAGTACCTCTTGTAGAGCCGGGGCGGCATCAGAGGTAGCTGATTTAGTAAATGGCACAAATAAGTCTTTGAGAAATTATTACATATTTGTGCCATCACTTGTAGAGACTATCTGCCCGAGGGGTCCAAGTGCAGTGAAGTTCCTAAAGGAAGAATTCGTCGCTGCTGGTGATAAGAGGGCTAGTTCTTTTCTCGCTCAAAGGCTAAGTATAGCTAGCTATTCAGCGAGGAAACGCCACCATTTCTTGGCACGATACCATGGCGAGTAGGACAGTATGATAATTAAAAAATTTTGTTTTAGTTTTTCTTTATTATAGTTTTTTTTAAATATTGTATGTAAACAATTTCAAGTTAAAAATTCCATAGTAAATTATATTATTTAATGATAAAATAAATGTTACCTTATATTTGAAAACATCTAAATAGCAAAATTGGGTTTATAAGCGAACCGAATTGCATAACGACATGCTTCGCTTATAACAACGATTTCTAGGTACGAGTATATGACGCGTCAGTGTCGCTTTCGTTTATTTTGACAACACTGTGATTAAATAGTGACATTATAGAAAGTAGTGTCTCTTTTCCATATGGGAGGCTATGTTTTTGTTGTTTTAGCAATTGCCAACGCTTCTCATCAATTACAATGACGTCCTATACATCTTTCCTCGATTAAGAATCAAAATAGATGCAATTTCACCCATGATGACTGAAATAGAAAGCCTCATTACCAGTAAAACTAGTCTCCGGTTCTCTATACTTACGCTACAAGCTGTTATTTTGCTCTGGTATTCTGTGAGCCGACCCATTTATTTATTTATGTCGTTGCTCATGGGGGGGGGGGTAAAAATTGTACAACCAGTGCGTGTTGCCAGTTATGACTTATAGATTTGAGACGTTGTCCTTCACTGCTGGTCTTCACTGAGGTCGCTCAGCGAGCTATGGAGAGGGCTATGCTCGGGGCTTTTCTGCGTGATAAACTTAGAAATGAGGATATCCGCAGTAGAACCAGAGTGACCGACATAGCCCAACGGATAAGTAAACTGAAGTGGCAATGGACCGGCCATATAGCACGAAGAACAGACAACCGATGGGGAAAAAAGGTTCTCGAGTGGCAGCCTCGTACCGGTAAGCGTAGTGTAGGGCGAACCCACACTAGATGGAGTGACGACTTGGTAAAACATGCAGGAAGTCGATGGATGCAGGTGACTCAGGACCGTGATTTGTGTCATTCCTTGGGGGAGGCCTATGTTCAGCAGTGGACTTGTGAAGAGCTGTAATGATAATAACGAATGATAATGACTCATTTATGCAGCGACCATAATATAGCTGCAACGTGACTCTACCACGTTAGTCGCAGTAGGAAACTACTACAGAAAACATGTCTCTCCCGCTGCAAGAAGATTATGCCTTAATGATTATAGGTGTCCTAATCCGAATGGGCGGTAATCCGACACAGCCGAGGAGAGATCAGACGCAACACCAACGACCTTACGTGCTTTTCGAGACATGGGGGTGAAACACCGCCAATATTTTGATTCCGGGCTGCTACTTAGAATTTCTTGTTTTTCTTTCTACTGAAAAATATCTGATTTTAAACCAATTTCATCTCAGGGTCAGCAATCGCGGTTACTAGATTATCGAGTCAGTCTTGCGCCTCATCTCTCACCGGTCGTGTCGAGTTACCGTGCCATCGCATGGATTATTCTGTTTATCCACCCTAAGAAATCCACCCTGGGTGGATAATCGAAATTCGTTCATTCATTTTCTTTCGATTTTCCCCCTCGGCTATGTACAGTCGTTTATAAAAACATAATGGAAACTGGCCAAGATTACTTAGGAGATATTATGTTAATAACTTTATATAAATACATACATACTTCTTGTTTAAAGATCAAGACTAAAATACTTTTAATTTTTCAGTTACATATCATTCGATGTGGATTTACGTCATTTTCGAGAACTATGATGAAATAAATGTTTTACTGCGATTAATTTCAATTATATTTTATTGAAGTAGTTATTTAATTTAAATAAATATATTGATAATTATATAAACACAGTATTGTAAATAGTGTACCATAAATAATACTACTCAATAATGAAATTAGTGTTGGTCATTTCCTGGACATATTGCAGTATTTATAAATATTGTTGCGAGCTTGAAGTTCGTGACAATAAAAACTGCCGATTGAATTACAAAAATTTACACTTTAATTTACTTTACACTAATTAAAACTTAAAACACTAATAACTAACGACACTCATTCACTTCATTTCGCTTCGAAGCTTCGCTTGTCTCGCCAAATTCAATACTGCCCCCATCGCGGCATGCAGCGGGTTTAAATACACTTTTACGCCGAAACATCCAGAATATACCCGTAGATACGGGCGCCGACCGACCAGACGCAGAAAGTTCGAGTGTGAGGCTTCTAGAAAGCTTAGTTCTTCAACTCGATACTAGAAGGCGCTGTTGGTTAAAAGATTAGTCATGTCATTTTCTGGAAAACTCTCTTCGCTCTGTTAACCGACACTAGATGGCGCTAGTGCCAGACGTCAACTTAGGCGCGCAACAATATATTCCGAGTATCCACACTAGGGTGGATAAACGGAATAACCCCATAGCACTAGGATACCTATGATCATTAAGGCATATCTTTTCTACAGCGGGAGCGAAACATTTTCTGCAGTAGTTTCTTATAGGTTGAAGATGAAAAAAGGTCAACCGGGAAAGAAACTTACTTCAGTCCTTTGCAGTACGCATGACGAACGATGAAGCAAACCGTATTCTGTAACGGTACTGGAAATAATCACAAGCTAATTATACCAGTTACTCAACTTCAAAGTGTCAGTAATTTCTTTATGAGGCCTCGCCTTTCCACCTCTACGAGAAGCATCCTTAAGTGAAGGCATCTTCACCTTAGTGCACGCAACAAATTAAGTTTTAACAATTTCATTCTTATAGATTTCCGTAAAATTTTTGAGTACTGGATAGTGAACTTCACCAATTTTAAAAATATAACGTTTGCGATTGCCGAAAATAACAAAGACATTAATTTTCAATCGATTTCAAATATGGAGTGGTCGAAGAAAGAAGAAAAAGTAGCGGTATTCGCGTTGCACCACTGTGGTTACGCGCCAAAAGAGATTTTCAACATTCTACAAAAAATAACCCTACGATTTGTTTATCGCACTATCAAACGATTCACTGAAGATTCAAGCTTCGAAGATCGTAAGAGGACCAGCAGACGTCGTACAGTTAGGAAGGCGCGAATCCAGCGAAATCCTGTTCGTAAACAAAAAATTTTAGCTCTTCAGATGGGCCTAAGCAGATCTACGGTCGAAAGAATGATCAATGAAGAACTATGACTACGAGCTTATCGTAAGAAGACCGGACATTTTTTAAACGAGCGTTTGAAAAAAATTTCCTGGATAGATCCCGCGTTTTGTTACGGCGGTACGCGGTTACGAGTTTAAAATTAATTTTTGTTTTTTCGTATTTTATTCGCTGCCATACCGTTTATCAGATTGCGTTAAAACTTTGTCAACATATTGCTTGCTTGTGAAAATTATAGGCATAGTCGTATTCGGTCAGTGATGCTGTTGTCGTATCTAGATATCACCCGTGCGAAGCCGGGACAGATTGCCAGTATAGAATAAAAAAAATACATTCTATTTGACATATCTCACTTACCTGGTTTGATGCAGGACATGCCGCACGCTCCGTCGCAGAGGCATTTCTTTTTTTTGCTTTTGCAGTCTTCGTCAGAAGAGCATTTGCGTAGGCATTTCTGACCCTGCAAAATATATTTCCTTAGTCATGCGTGAGTTCTTTTGACGTCACAAATTATATTTTATTTTTTATCAAAATACACGATACCCATACACTAAGATTTTCTCTTGTATCGTATTACGCACATAAATTGCAACTGTACCTACATCCAAACACGGAACAATTATTTATCTTACAAATACTTGATACAACTCGTGGCACGTAACTCTCGCGCTGAACGAAACATGTAGGGGATTGTCGTATCGGTTCGGGGGACGGAATGCGACTGGAGAATCAATCAGCGCGTGCAAACGATACGCACAGCCAATCATATGCAATAATGCGTAATACGGCAAATTATGCGGAATAAAGGTCACCACTAGACTTTCGTGCCGCGAGTAATACGTACGGGTTTCATATCTAAGGCCTCGCAGCATCGTTCCCACAGCGAAACAAAACTGTCAAATTAATCTTATCCTCCTCTTATCTTATCCTTATTCGTCAGCTCGTAAGAGTCTTCTCGACACGGGCTTTTCCCCTTATTTCGAGTCTACCTGATGGTAAGTCATTGCGGTGGACCATACATATCTACAACTATCATCAATTAACAATAAACATGCAGATGCGTTGTCACAGACAAAGATGAAATGACTCGTTTCCAATGAAAAAGGTTTACGGTTCTCTACACTTACCATACGTAACACAGCGGTATTAAGCAGCTATTTCAGGCTGGTTTCATTCTTTGAGAGCGCTGTACTACCCAGACCTATTCCCGTTGCAGCACGGCCATGTATATCTAGATATGCTACAGCTATGTATATATATATATATATATATATATATATAGTATATGCTGCAGTGTTTGCATTTTAATTATTAATAGTGAGAATATGTAAGTTACCATCATGTGGAATAGTGTGCTTGTTTCTCACCAACTAATTTGTATAACAGAAAACTTTTTGTAACTTCGTGTTAATAAAACTGAAATTAATGTCTGCAATATTAAAAAAACAAGCTTCTATAAGTCTCGAGGGTTATTTGTATGCTATTTAGATATTGACTCTCTGTCTGTCTGTCTGTGCTTATCATCGGTTCAACCAATTGAGATGAAACATTACAAGTAGATAGCAACGCCAGGAGGATTCTAGGTAATATTTTATCTGAGAAAGCGTGGCTCTACCACTTGTGATACAATGTTACCAGTTAAAAAAATGTGTTCTGTTCTTATTATATTATATATATGTTATAGTATTATACTATAACAACAAAATAAAAAAAATATATAACATATATATATATATGTTACAGTATTATTCTGTTATTTTATGCTAGTGTTTTGTAAGAATGCATACTGCAATTGCTATTGCAGCTGCAGCGTAGTCCCACTGCTTATACTATAGTACGTGAGGGTAATATGTTTACTTTCTTATAACTCAAAAACTACAGCCTTGTTTGCATAGATGGATTTGTGACACGATAGCACTTCATCAATCAAGCAAATAAAAAAGGGTCAAAAGGGCGCTCCTTTATCGACAACATTTTGACACTTGACATTATAGTAAATATTTTAATCGAATTTAATGTAGTAAATTTATTTTTAAGTTAACTTTTCGAAGTGTTGATTAAAACTACTTTTACGGATTTTATCGCGTTTATTTTTACTTTTTATTTACTTTTATTTTTAATTCCCGACGTTTCGGGCGCTTTCCAGCACCCATGGTCACGGGGGACTCCGAAATAAACGCGATAAAATCCGTAAAAGTAGTAAATCATGTATAGTGTTCGCGTAAATATAAGAAATCATTATTTTCGAAGTGTTTATAAATATTGCCAAAGCTTGTTTCCTTCTTTTTTCTTTATATATTATTAGTTATTGTGTACGCCTTAGTGTTTTGTCTCTGTCGCCCTCCGTGGTTTTGGTTTTATAACGCGGCATAGCTTAAGGTGATGTTACCCTCATGTACCTTACTATGAATATTTGCCATAGATGACGCGCTTAGGCAGGTGCGAAACGGTAATTTATTTATTTTATAGTAATAAGAAAGACGCTGCTGCCTATCTCCTGACTTGGTTCCCTCTATCGCTTCTTACGACACCCACGGGACCATATGGAGTAGAGGTATTAATTACACATAGACAAACTGTGTAGAGCCATACTGTAGCTAGTAGTATAGTTGTAGCACGAATGGGTCGGCTCGAACGGGAAAGACCACGTTTTCACAGAGTATCAGCGTAAAACAGCGGCTTAACGCTGCTGTGTTTCGTATGGTGAGTGTAGAGAACCGGAGATCCTTTTCGCTGGAAACGAGGCATTCTATCTTAGACTACACGGGTGACAACGCATCTACATTTTGATTCGTATTTGAGGACAGATGTAGATGTTATGGGCCACAACAACTACTTAACATCAGGTGGACTGTGTTTTCCTATGTCACCATTGTCCCATGAAAAAACAATTCAACAATCTCTCGTATAAAAAATACATCTTAAAAAACTTTGTACTTACAAGTAAGGTAGCCTGCTCCTCATCACGAGGACAGTCAGCCGAAGGTGAATTGCGAGGGTTCTTATAGATCCGACCGTCGTCATCAGCCTCGGCACGGCTCTGCGGCGTCGTGTCGTCGTCGTCGTCGTCGTCATCTTCAGTTGTCGGGCTGGGGAGCGATGACACTGGCAACAAAAATAATTTTGTTATTTAATTTTATAATTGCTACTAATTTCTTATATTTAAGCGAAAACTACGCATTGAAAGAAAATAAGTTTATTATATTTTTATGGATTTTATCGAATCAAAAAGAAATATATACTACATGAGGGTAATATGGTCATCCGGTCTTGTTTGCATAGATACCTCTGTGATACGATAGCTCGAAATCCGTAGACAGAAAACCTATAGAGAAATTGACGCCTTCTTTCGCATTCGCACACGAAAAAGATAGATTTATGCATACGTCTTGCATAGAAATGAGATAGAGCGGTGAGATTGTTTGTCCCTTTCTACGTGCCGGTTTTTTTAGCAAACTCTACAGTTTGCTAGCCAACTTTGACAACGTAGCGATTTAAGGAGTTTACAAGTTGGTTTAAGTGAGAAAAAAAGTGTTTTGTGAGCTTAATATTGGTGAATCTTGTTCAGTCCAGTTCTTAGAACAATTAAAATTTTTATCTAAATGTGTTTAAAAGTCATAAAGATTATTGTATAACCTAAAAATTCGTTATCGTCCTTTCTCACTCGAGGCCACGCCGATCATTAGTCTATAGGTTTCTCTGTCTACGTCGAAATCGCTCTAGTATATCAAATACTAAAGGGTCAAAATGGAGTCTATAAAGCTGCGCTATATAGTTGACATTATAGTAAATATTTTAGTCGATTTTATTTTGGAGTAGCGTAGTTATTTTTTTTAAGTAAATTTTTCGAAGTGTTCCTAATTATTGCTTAAACTTGTTTGCTATTTTTTCTTAATATATTAATTATTATATACTACTTTGTATTTTTGTCTCTGTCTTCCTCCTAGTTTTCTTTTTAATAGCGGCAAAGCTTAAGGTAACCATATTACACTCACGTACCTTAATCATTCAATTATATGCTAGTGCCTCACTTCTATCCTATCTGATGGTAAGTAGTGATGCAGCCGGACAGTGGAGGACACTGACTTAGATTAACAAATTCTTTTCACTTCCCCACGAATCATAAATTTTTTGATGTCTCTTGCCAAGTAACTAAGTGGTAGAGCTGTAACTATATTGTGGTTGCAGCACGAATAGGTCGACTCGACGGGGGTAGAACCACGCTATCGAAGAATACCATCGTAAAATAGGAACTCAATGCTGCTGCCTTTTGTATTGCGAGTGTAGAGAGCCGGAGACTCTTTTTTACTTTAAATGAGACAGTTCATCTCAGTTCTTAGTTTGATTCTTAATCGAGGTTAAATGTAGATGTCTATGGGCCACAACATCCACTTACCATCAGGTGTACTGTGTGCTCGTTTTGAACAAACATATGCTATAAAAAATGATCTGGTCTATATATTTTATTCGAAATATTAAAGACTTTTTGTGAATTGGAATAGTTGATAAAATAAACTGTCGATGACGAATTATAAATGTAAACGACGCCAACTCGGGCGAACCCGTGGCAAGTTAGTAGTAATAAATAAATTGACCAAATTACTGTCAATAGTAATTTTCTTTAAATACACGAAATCTAATGCTTGAATAGTACAACGTAAGTAAGCAACACGGGAAATAAAAAAAAACATAATGACATAATTATTATTTACATGGGAATGCTAGCCGCAATCACACTTGGTTACGCTTCGCAGAACATAACATGGTTAAGGTAGGACCTTAACAATACCGGAGCGAGAAACTAAGCGGGAAGAAATAGGAATATACATAGACATAAGATAATAGTTGACGACTCATTAATTCTGAGTAAGTCTCATATAGCTATGAAAGTGATCATAATGCTTACTTATCTACATAATCACACATAGCCTCCGTATGATAATTAATCTAATATAAATTTAATGTTTGTTTGACCGTATTTTATGCTCTTCTTAACTTGGTCAACATATTGCTTGCACTTCTGTGAAGGTTATATGCATAGTTGGACCCGGTAGGTGGCGCTGCCGTAGAATCCGGATATCACCCGTGTGAAGTCGGGGCATATAGCTAGTCCAATATACAAAGATTAATGTCTGTTTGTTCGTATTATATACACAGGTTTATCATATTACGGTATAACTTGGTTAAATTATTGCTTGACTTCCGCGAAGGATATAGTCATAGTACAAATAACTTACAATAGGTGTCGCACATACGTGTATCATTGAATTTAAAATAATGTATTATCATTCTTAATAAAACAATATAATTGTTCCAAATTTAAAACAATATTTCCACATTTATTTATAATGCTGCGGTAAAGCACCGGGTACCAGCTAGTAAACACTAAAAACGTACTACAAAATGTTCACGCAATTATATACACTTAATATATTCTTAATATAATTTATTTAGGAACGATTTCTCTCTATCCTTAACATATCTATTTTTGGTGTCCTGATAACTACTAATTAAACGGTTTAAAATCTTTAATTTAACATAGACTTAATACGGTAATTTCTTACATATTCTCAGCCTAGGTGGTAAAGATACAAGCAACATAGCACACGCTAATATGATACAGTTTGAAGACTAATAGAGCTAGTATAAACGCTGTGAGGTATTCCGTCTAGGTTTTAGAACTCCTTTTGTCCTATAAGTCCGTCTGGGTACGTACCAGTATTATAAGTAACTCTGTCATCCCTGCGTTAATCTATGTGGTGTGTTAATCTATGACGTACACGGGGAGTTTTGGCGGGAACTTGGCCGTAGACAGATTGTCGCTCCTGTTTCGTCGCTTGAATAATGGTTTGAAGTGTATTTTGATTCGTAAAAGTGATGCGATTTTGTGAATTAAGTGTCTGCGCATGTGAACTATTAGAAAAAACGACGAAACAAGTGCTGATGCTGATTTCGATATAAACCTCAATTTATTTTTTTAGTTTTGATTGCTTGGGCGCCTTATGAAATTGAGTGGCTGTCGTCATCGACTGTCCGCTAGGTTGAGCTGTTGTCAAATCTCCCAAGGGCTTCGCAATGTGCCGCATCAGCATATTGTGAAGAAAAAGAATATAAAATAAGGATTCCGAAAGAAATGATAGGCTCAGAAGGGCTAGAACCCGGAGCCGTAAAGCCAGTTTAATAAAAAAATATGATATATACGTCCAGTAGTGGAATTTAATAGGCTGCATTGGATGGACCGCGTGCCTTAATTTTTTATAAGTAATATTTTGATACATATCCCGCTGCTACAATTTCAATAACCGCACCTTTTTCATTACGCCCTGGTGCATAAACTCGCTACGCTATGAATTTTGCGGAAAAGATTCAATGCAGGGCAAGCGACACTGTTATCTAGTCATACATTGTTTCACTGTTTTACTTATTGTCGTACTGTTTTTTTATGATTTCCTGGTCTTAGAAAGAAATAAAGCTTTGTTTTTCGATTATGGATTCAGTATTGCGTGCAATAAACGGATTTTTTTTCTACGGAATATTTATTGCTTCGTCAAAATTAAAAAGAGTATTCCATCATGAACTACACTCCACCAACAAAACATTTGAAAGAAACACAGCAGGTACAGCGAGAGAATGGAATAGTCTGCCAGCATCAGTTTTTCGTCGAAATTTGGGCGGTGCTACAGTCCCTTCAGCGGTGCCAAGTTGACTGTCGATATATCGAAATGCTGAAGTGTTTGTACAGTAGGGCTACGATGGCTATCCGATTACAGAACCAGAGCTCGAAACCTATCCAACTGCAGAGAGGTGTAAGACAGGGTGACGTTATATCCCCGAAACTCTTCACCGCTGCATTGGAAGACATTTTCAAGCTACTGGACTGAAAATGATACGGTATTAACATCAATGGCGAATACATCACTCTCCTTCGATTTGCCGACGACATAGTCCTTATGGCAGAATCGCTGGAGGACTTAAGTACTATGCTCAATGACCTCAATAGTGCCTCCCAACGGATAGGTCTTAAGATGAACATGGACAAAACAAAGATCATGTTTAATGTCCATGTCACACTTATGCCGGTAGTTGTTGGGAGCACTATGCTCAAAGTATTTGACGAGTACGTTTACCTGGGACAAATAGTCCGACTAGGTAAGTCCAACTTTGACCGAGAGGTCAATCGACGGATTCAACTCGACTGAGCAGCGTTCGGGAAATCACGACATATCTTCTCGTCAGGTATATCTCAATCTCTAAAAACTAGATTGTACAACCAGTGCGTGTTGCCAGTGATGACTTACGGATCTGAGACGTGGTCCTACACTGCTGGCCGTATGAGGACGCTCAAGGTCGCTCAGCGAGCTATGGAGAGGGCTATGCTCGGAATTTCTCTGCGTGATATACTCAGAAATGAGGATAACCGCAGTAAAACCAGAGTGACCGACATAGCCCAACGGATTAGTAAGCTGAAGTGGCAATGGGCCGGCCATATAGCTCGAAGAACCGACAACCAATGGGGAAGAAAGGTTTTCGAGTGGCAGCCTCGTACCGGTAGGCGAGTGTAGGGCGACCCCCCACTATATGGAGTGACGAACTGGTAAGATATGCAGGAAGTCGATGGATGCAGGTGGCTCAGGACCGTGCTTTGTGGCATTACTTGGGGGAGGCCTATGTTCAGCAGTGAACTTGTGAAGGGCTATAATGATGATGATGATCAGTTTTTCAGTCATCAAAATGCAGATGGGTTGTCACCCCTGAGGGCTAAGATGTAATGCCTCATTTCCAGTAAAAAAGGGCCTCCGGCTCTCTACACTCACCATACGCTGGTAATCTGTAAGAATAATATTCTGTAAGAGCGTGGACTCTCCACGGGCGAGCCGACACATTCGTGCTACAACCATAATATAGCTGCAGCGTGGCCGGATAGTAAGTGAATACCATCAGTTGGACTGTGTGCTCGTTTGTTACCCTTATTCTAAAAACAAAATATCCCCTAGAAAATACGAGTATTTGTTTACTGTTACATTAAAAGAACCTCAACAGAGTAATACCGTTTGAATTTCCTTATGTATACAAAGTGAAAGCAATACTTAGTTACAGCAAACAAC